CCGTGTGTGTGTGTGTGTGTGTGTGTGTGTGTGTGTGTGTGTGTGGTGTTTGTAAGGGACAGTCCTGGGGCTTGAACTCACGCCTATACAGCTGTCCCTTAGCTTTTTCCACTCCAGGCTGGTGCTCTACCACTTGAGCCACACCTTCACTTCTGCCTTTTTTGCTGGTTCATTGGAGATACAAGTCTCACGGACTTTCCTGCCTGGGCTGCCTTAGAACCTGGATTCTCAGATCTTAGCCTGCTTCTGAGTAGCTAAGGATGACCAGGCCTGAGCCACTGGCACCTGGCTTTGTTCTTGTCTTGGCTGTGGCAGCAGGGAGCTGGGGAGGGAGGGGCAGTCTTTCTCCTCCCCTAAGGCTTTGCTTTGCATGGGGTGCTCTCAGGAAGGGGCACCTAGGACCCTGTAGCCTCATGATCTAGCCTGGGGCTCTCCTCAGGCAGGCCCTGAGGGGCTGGAGGTTGCATTCTTTCCCCGGGCTGGGGCTTAGAACGAATCTGTCATTCTGCCTGGATGACTTCTGCTTCACCACTCCCCAAGCCTGCAGCCTTGCCTGGAGGCCAGCAGCCGGCCTGACTGGAGGACAGTGAAGACACAGTGGGTCAGCTGGGGCCTGAGAAGTAGCTCACAAAGTTGGGCTAGAAAGACCCTTGTGTCCTTTCTTTAAGGATATTTAATTTTTGTTGTTGGTGGTGGTGGTCATGGGGCTTGAACTCTGGAAATAGGCACTGTCCCTGAGCTCTTCAGCTCAAGGCTAGCCTTCTGCTGAGCAACTGCTTCACTTCCGGTTTTCTGGTGGTTAATTGGAGATAAGAGTCTCACGGACTTTCCTGCCTGGGCTGGCTTTGAACTGAGATTCTCAGATCTCAGGATCCTGAGTAGGTAGGATGACAGGCATGAGCCACTGGCACCTGGCTCAGATATTTAAAAATTTTAAGAGAGAGAGAGAAAGAGAGAGAGAGAGAGAGAGAGTGTGTGTGTGTGTGTGTGTGTGTGTGTGTGTATGTATGTATGCTGGTACTGGGCTTAAACTTAAACTCAGGGCCTGGGTATTGACCCTTAGCTTTTTCACCCAAGGTTGCCACTTTACTATGTAAACCGCAGCTCTACTTCTGGCTTTTTATCCCCCCTCCACTGCTAATTGGGAGTAAGAGTCTCAGACTTTCCTGCTTGGAATAGCATCGAATCAACATCCTCAGATCTCAAACCTTGTGAGTAGCTAGGATTATAGGCCTGAGCCTACAATTGGTTTTTGGTTTCTTGTTTATTGAACCATTCTGGAAAAAGAAGATGAGCCCTTCATCCCAGTGTCACCAGTGATCACGTGGAGATGGGAGAATCACGTATGCCGAGTCACTGTCCTGCCCTGGGTACCAGGGTGAAACCCAAATCCACCTCCCAAACCATGCCTGGATCTCTGGCTCCTGGCCCCAGGTGCCCTGGGCCTGATAGCCTCTTTTGATCCATAGCAGCCATAGACTCTGATTCTAGGTGGCTAGGCACACGGGCCGCCGCGGCTGCTCCTGTCCTGTCTGGTGACATCTTTCAGCCACTGCCATTGCAACCCCACACTGGCAGCCATCCTAGCCAAGGAAAACAACAAATGAAGATGACTAGAAGAGTCTCGAGGTATTAACAGCTTGCACCTGAAATAGCCAGGAAATTGGAGCTGTTGGCTTTGAAAACAATAGTAATAAAAATTAAAGAAGCAATAGAAGAAAAGAAGGTTAAGAGGACACCGCATCTCCCTTTGTCTACCAGATACTTTTTCTGTCCCTAAGGGAGTGGGCTGCCAATGTGTGAACTTGTCATTCTATGCAGGACTTCGGAAGGTGTTTCTATACACCCACAGGCTTCCCTCAGTGGATGGCCTGGGGTTGGTTTCCTGAGAGACAGATGGAGTCTCCAATAAGAATCCAGGTCACCAAAGGAACTGGCTCTTAAGACCCTGCAATTGGCTGCGAGTGCTTTCATGAGAAGAGACTGAATCCTCCCTCTACCTGCTCATATCCATGAACTGACTCAGACACGAAGGATGACGAACTTTTTTTTTTTTGTCCTATGCAGAAGTATTCCTGGACAAATACTAAACCATGGAAAGATCTAGAACCAACCTACCCTGCAGGAAGGCAGGTTGAAAACTTCATTAGGTGTTTGTGTATTTGTTGTGCCTTATGGTCCTGAACACAGGGCTTGGTACTCTCTAGCCTTGCTCAAGGCTAGCTCTCTTTTCACCTGAGCCACATCTCTGCTTCTGTCTTTTTGGTGGTTCCTGGGAGATAAGAGTCTCACAGACTTTTCCTGTCCAGGATGACTTTTAAACCTCGATCTTTAGATCTCAGCCTCCTGAGCTGTTGGGAGTATAGGAATAAACCACCAGTGCCTGGGCAGGTTGAAAACTTTGGATCAATAAGTCAACCTAGATAAAACTAGCCAGCCCTGGAATGTGGGTGAACTGGGAGCATTGTAACCCAACAGGATGCCCCGGAACCACAGCCAGCCCTGACGTCAGAGGGGTTTGGTGCTCTGCCAGGCCAGGCACCGTGTTTGCAGCACAGCACATTGGAGCTCAGTCAGCCAAAGTAGGGAGAGTTCCCAGGAAAGCTGGGGTGGTGGTCCCCACCTCTTTTTTGCTAGTGCGTTATGTGAGCCTCTCACCTGCGCCCCATAACACCTGGCCGCCGTGTTCAATTATGTTCTCCCTAGGGGTATCTCGGTGGCCCTCATCATTGTGACATCTGAATGTCCAAGTTGTGCTAGCCCAGTCCTTGGGTGCTTTTCCAGCAGGACTTTGTGTCCCCAAGACTAGGGATGGGGTGTCAGTGGGCTCCATGGTATTGAGGCAGCTGACGGTTTATATCTGGGCAGCTCCAGGTCTGATTGCAAAAGTTTGGGCCTCCACACCACTTCCTGTGGGCTCTGACCTGCTCATACCCATTCATGATGCCATCTTGGCCTTTGTGTGTGTGTGTGTGTGTGTGTGTGTGTGTGTGTGTGTGTGCCAGTCCTGGGCACTGGCTCTGACTTTCTTTTACTCAAGGCTAGTGCTCTACTACTTTAGCCACAGTGCCACTTCTGGGTTTTTGGTAGCTCAGTGGAGATAAGAGTCTCAGACTTTCCTGCCCAGGCTAGCTTCAAATTCTATTCTCAGATCTCAGCCTCCTGAGTAACTAGGATGACAGGCGTGAACCACCTGCATGCGGCTGGTTTGGCCTTTCCTCTTTTGTTTTTGTTTTTCTGTCATTCCTGGGGCTTGAACTCGGGGCCTTGGCGCTGTCCCTGAGCTTTTATGCTCTAGGCTAGTGCACTTCACTTCAAGCCACAGCTCTACTTCCAGCTTTCTGGTGGTTCACTGGAGATAAGAGTCTCACAGACTTTCCTGCCTGGGCTGGCTTTGAATCACAACCCTCAGATTTCAGCCTCCTAAAGAGCTAGAATGATAGGCGTGAGCCACCCAGAGTCGGCCATGTGACCCTGGGCAAATCAACTGAATTTAGCTTGTCTAATGTTCTTTCCCCCCACCCCCTTTTGATCCAGGAACTGAATTCGAACTTGGCTAGCATTCTACCAAGCCATACCTCCAACACCTGTCTGCTGCTCCAGACATGGGTGGGGTGAAGAACATGGGTGTCCCCAGTGATTGTCTTGGTTGCTTTGCATATGTCCACCAGATGTGTGGCTTTTAACTTCGGTGTCCAGTGGCTGGTGGGATGCTTTGTGGGTGGATCGCTCTGTGACCCACTACTTTTTATGTGTTCCCTTCCCCCCTTTTTTTGTTTCATTTGTCATAGGGCTTGAACCCAGGACCTGAGCTGCTTTTGTTCAAGTCTAGCACTCTACCACTTGAACCATAGCTCCACTTCTAGCATTTTGGTGATTGATTGAAGATGTTAAGTCTCATAAACTTTCCTGCCCACGTTAGCTTCGAACCTGGTTTTCTCTCTCTCTCTCTCTCTGTCCTCCTCCTCTCTCTCTCTGTCTCCCCATGCTACTCCTGGGACTTGAACTCAGTTTTCTCACCATGACCTGGCTTTTTCACTCAAGGCTGACACTCTACCATTTGAACCTCAGCTCCACTTCTAGCTTTTTCCTGGTTAACTGGAGATCTCAGATTTGTCTGCCTGGGCTGGCTTGGAACCTTGATTTCTCAGATCCCAGTCTCCTGAGTAGCTAAGATGACAGGCGTGAGCCACCACCAGCACCTGGCTATATGTGTCTTGCTGTAAATTTCCAGGCCTATATTGTACCAGTAGTCTGGCATGGGAGGCGGGGAGTGCATTCCTCTCTGGTTGTGGCTTATGAGCATCGGTTGGATTAGTGGCATGTGCCATGGCTGTCCCAGTGACACATGGAATGGTAGCCTGACTGCCCTAGGTATATGCAGGTAGCCATCAGGCTTGGTACGGTCCCTAAGTTCCCCCTCCTTGCTTCTGCAAGCAGGATGGGCCCTAAGGAAGGGGTGAGGGGGGCCCAGCAGGTGGATACCATCCTTCCTTCCCACAAATCACCTGGCCTCTGTCTTTCCACAGAATAAGCCGTCTCTTCAATGGCACAGAACCCATTGTCCTAGACAGTTTGAAGCAACATTATTTCATTGATCGGGATGGGGAAATTTTCCGCTACATCCTGAGTTTCCTGCGGACGTCCAAATTACTGCTACCCGATGACTTTAAGGTAGGTCTATAGGCGATGCCCACCCCACCCCCTGCCCCATGTGGACATATTACACTGGGGACTCTGTGACTTAAATAAATGGACCCATGGTTGTCATGGCAACTGTAAAAAAAGTGAAATGAAGCCCAGGGCTGAATCCATTGTTTTTGTTTTTGTAATTTTGCTTTTCGCACATTTTTAGTATATGTATCAGGGTATAACAACAATTAAGCTTATCCAGGTGAATGTGAGTGGTATTTGAGGACTGCTAGGTACTAGGAGTTACCAGCAGTTAAGATAAATGGGTGGCAATGGATAGAGGAGGGGCCTCGAGAAACTGCCTCGAGATACTGGGGTGTCTCTCCACGCTGCCCTGAACCTGCTCAGGTTGCTCTGGTTCCTTTCGTTCTACATTATAGGCCCCTGAAATGATGGGAGGATGAAAACTTAGATCTGAGCTAGTCTATCTTCTAAGTGTGCACACGTATATACATGCATGCACCAGTCCTGGGGCTTGAACTCAGGGCCTGGACACTGTCCCTAAGTTTTTGTGCTCAAAGCTAGCACTCTACCACTTGAGCCACAGATCCACTTCCAGCTATTTTTTTGGTTAGTGCATTGGAGATAAATAAATAGTCTCATGGACTTGCCTACCCATGCTAGCTTCGAACCATGATCCTTAGATCTCAGCTTCCTGAGTAGCTAGGATGAGAGGTGTGAGACACTGGTGCCCAGCCAGTCTGACCTAGAGCATCATGGACCTTTTTCCTAGGTCACATTTGAGCTTAAAAAAAAAAAAAAAGCAATGCAAAAGGAAACCATAGGCCCTGCCTGTGGTGCTTATAACCTAGTGGGGAGATACATGTGAACCTGAATTCCATAATTCTATGGAATTCAGAAAAAACAGAGTATGGCCAAGCATGGTGGCTCACACCTGTTATTCTGCTACTCAGGAGACTGGGATCTGAGAATGAGAGTTTGAAATCAGCGTGGATGGGAAGGTCCATGAAATTCTTATCTTTACTTAACTACCAAAAAAATCCCCCAAAACAAAGCAAAAGTGGTTCAGTGGTAGAGTGCTTGCCTTGCATGCATGAGAACCTGGGTTTAATTCCTCAGCACCACATAAGCAGAAAAAGCCAGAAGTGGCGCTGTGGCTCAAGTGGTAGAACGCTAGCCTTGAGCGGAAGAGCTGAGGGACAGCGCCCAGGCCCAGAGTTCAGGCCCCACAACTGACCAAAAAACAAACAAACAAAGATAGAGGGTGGTGGATTGGGCAGGAGGGTAATTTCTAGAGCCCATGGACCAGGATAGGAGATAGGAGATGGAGGTAGGCAGAGACTTATTCTTAGGAAGAAGCTGCAAATGGCTGTTGGTGGGGATTGAGTCCTAAATTGGTGGGTGGAGATCCAGATACGGAACAGGCTGGAGTTGGGTGTGAAGCCCTGTTCCTTTTGTAGACAACTTGGTGAGGGCATAGCAGGAGTCCTTCAGAGTGTTGAGGAAACAAAAGATGTATTAAAAACTCCTGGATGGTGAGCGCTGGTGTTTCATGCCTGTCATCCTAGCTACTCAGGGGGCTGAGATCTGAGGATCACAGGTTCAAAGCCAGCCTGGGCAGGAAAGACCAGGAGACTCCCATGTCCAGTTAACCATCAAAAAGCTGGAAGTGGAGCTATGGCTCAAGTGGGTAGAGCACTAGCCTTGAGCAAAAAGAATCTCAGGGATAGTGAGTTCAAGCCCCAGAACAGGCACAGGAAAAAAGAAAAGAAAAACTCTGGAAATGGTGCAAGCCTGGAAAGCAGAGGGCTGGGCTGGAACACAGACGAGTCTGCAGGGAGGCAGGAAGTGTGTCTGACCAATGGCAGATGTAGAGATGAGGGGCCAGGACTCAACTCAACTGTTCCAAAGGTTGTGTGCATCTTGGCCTTTCTGCGGGGGGTCCTCAGGCTTGCTAGCCAGACCAATGCACTGAGCCCCAATGGTTGCTGGGGACCCTGGCCACCGGGGCTGGTGTAGGAGCCTGTGTTTGATTGGAGCACATGTCACCATCTGAGGGACAGATCATGTGAGCTTGCCCTGTCAGGGCGTAGGCTGCCTGGTACACAGTGGGTTTTGCTGCCTAGACACTTCATCCGGCTCTCTGCCTAGGCAGGGCCCACTGGCCACTCGGCAAAGCTTGTCCCTCTCAGTCCTCCCTCTACTTATCTGAGCTAACCTGGACACTGTCCCTTAGCTTTTCCACTTAAGGCTGGTGGTGCTCTACCACTTTGAGCCACAGCTCCACTTCCAGCTTTTTGAGTGGATCATTGGAGATTACTCTGTTGGATTTCACCACCTGGGCTGGTTTAGAATTGTGATCCTCAGATCTCAGCCTCCTGAAGTGCTAGGATTACAGGTGTGAGCCACCGGTACCCAGCTTCACTTTTTCACTCAAGGCTGGTTCTCTACCACTTGAGCCACAACTCTACTTCCAGCTTTTTTGGTGGTTGATTGGAGATAGGAGTCTCACAGACTTTCCTGCCTGAGCTGGCTTTGAACCATGATCCTCACATCTCAGCCTCCTAAGTAGCTAGGATAACAGGCGTGAGCCACCAGCACTCAGCTCATAGCCATTTTATTTTATTTATTATCATTATTATTTTGTCAGTCGTGGGGCTTGAACCTGGGGCCTGGGCACTGTCCCTGAACGCTTTTGCTCAAGGCTAACATCCTACCACTTGAGCCACAGTGCTGCTTCCAAAATTTTTGGTGGGTCATTGGAGATAAGAATCTCACAGACTTTCCTGCCCAAGCTGGCTTTGAACTGTGATCCTCAGCTCTCAGCCTCTTAGTAGCGAGGATTAACAGGAGTGTGCCACCAGCGCCAGGCTCATAGCCATTTTATAGAGGGGGAAACTGAAACTCAGAGAGGTCTCCTAGCTGGTAGATTGGTGAGGTTGAAAATCTAGCCCATCCCCAGGGCTGGAAGGAGGGCAGGCGTGATGGGAGCTGTTCCCATCCTGGCATCTTCTGTGGGTGAGGTTCTAGAAGGCCAGCAGGTCCCTGAGTTTAGGCATAGCCTCTACCTCTCCAGTTTGGTTTCCTAGGCCTCTCCACGCTCCTCTTTGCCTCGAATGCAAGCTGGATGGAAAAGCCAGAGAGGGAATCATAAGACACAGGTGCACACCAGCCCACAGCTAGACTCCTGATGCATACGTTTCCTGCGCTCCTTTGAGCTTTTTTTTTTTGCTCCTCTGTACAATGGGTACAAACACCCAAGTCCACATTGTGCCAAAGATGGCAATTCTCACAGTGGCAGGGAGATGATGTCCCCTGGGTTTGGACTGACGGATCGAATGTTCGCCCCTCTCCCCCTTCCCCTCCTCCTCCTCCAACCCTGTGCCATGGACCCCACATCCACAGGACTTCAACCTGCTGTATGAGGAAGCTCGCTTTTACCAGCTGCAGCCCATGGTGCGGGAGCTGGAGCGCTGGCAGCAGGAGCAGGAGCAGCGGCGCCGCAGCCGGGCGTGTGACTGTCTCGTGGTGCGCGTCACCCCAGACCTGGGGGAGCGCATCGCGCTCAGTGGAGAGAAGGCCCTCATCGAGGAAGTCTTTCCTGAGACAGGAGACGTCATGTGTAATTCCGTCAACGCCGGCTGGAACCAGGACCCCACGCACGTCATCCGATTCCCACTCAACGGCTACTGCAGGCTCAACTCAGTGCAGGTGAGCCCCTCCTTGCAGGACACGCAGGGTCTCCCCTCCCCCTCCCTCCAACCCCAGCCCTCTCCACTTCTTAAGAAGCCTGAGGGTGGCAAAACTAGACTCTAAGAGGCACAGTCCCTGAAACCCAAAAGCCCTCCAGTACTGTCTTACAGAAAAAGCAACAATGTGTCCATGCATAATTTATGCCCTTGCTCATAATTAAATGATAACACCTAAGGGGTTAGACTTAAAAAAAAATTGATCTGTACTTCCCCCCCTCCAAAAAAAAAAGGTTCTGTTTAAAAAAAATAAAATGGCCCAGAGTATTTTCAAACCAAGTGTGCTTCATTAGGTACCTACAGTCTGACTTTGGATTTATTTAATGGAAGTCAGGCACTACAGAAAGGTAAGATATTGGAGGCTCTTAATGCCTGTTATCCTAGCTACTCAGGAGGCTAAGATCTTAGGATCGTGGTAAAAAGCCAGCCTGGGTCTAAAAGTCCATGAGACTTTTTTTTTTTTTTTTGTCGGTCATGGAGCCTGAACTCTGAGCCTGGGCGCTGTCCCTCAGCTCTTTAGCTCAAGGCTAGTGCTCTACCACTTGAGCCACAGCGCCACTTCCAGTTTTTTCTGTTTATATGGTATTAAGGAATTGAACCCAGGGCCTCATTCATGCAAGGCAAGCACTCTACCACTGAGCCACCTTCCCAGCCCCATTCCATCAGACTTTTATCTCCAGTTTACCAGCAACCCCCCTTACCAGCAAAAAAAAAAAAAAGGCTGGCAATGTGGCTTAGTGGTAGAGTACTTGCCTAGCACACATGAAGCCCTGTGTTTGACTCCTCAGGTCCACATATAGCATATAAACAGAAAAAGCCAGAAGTGTGCCTGGCGCTGGTGGCTCACGCCTGTCATCCTAGCTACTCAGGAGGCTGAGATCTGAGGATCACGGTTCAAAGCCAGCCCGGGCAGGAAAGACCGTGAGACTCCTATCTCCAATAAACCACTAGAAAACTGGAAGCGTCACTGTAGCTCAAGTGGTAGAGCGCTCGCCTTTTGCTGAGGAGCTGAGGAACAGCGCCCAGGCCCAGAGTTCAAGCTCCATGACCAAAGAAAAAGCCAGAAGTGGCGTCTTTATGGCTCAAGCGGTAGAATGCTTTCAGGCCTTCAGTTCAAGCTGATATGGATCAAGTGCCTGCCTTGAGTGAAAAGCTAAGGAACAGTGACCAAGTGCGGAGTTCAAGCCCCAGTACCAACACAAAGAGGAGGGGACAGGGAGGAAGGAACGGAAAAGGAGACAGAACAGAGGTCGAGTCTCCTTCCAAAACCTGCTGACCTGCCCTCCCCCTGACCACACCCCATAGCTGCCCAAAAGGTTTCTGTGCAGGCCAGATATGTCTAAGTCTTGAGAAGCCCAAACAATTGGGATTGGAGGTGTGGCTCAGTAGGTGGAGCTCTGTCCAATAAGCAAAAGTGGACTTTGGTACTGAGTTCAAGTCCAGAATTCAGACCAAGGGGGAAAAAAGAAAAAAGGAAGCCCAAATAAGAGTTGGGGGTGGGGAGCCGGGCACTGGTGGTGCACACCTGTAATCTTAGCTACTCAGAAAGCTGAAATCTGATGATCGCAGTTCAAAGCCAGCCTGGGAAAGAAATTCCTTCTCTCCAATTAACCACCAGAAAACTAGAAGTGGCGCTGTGGCTCAAGTGGTAGAGCGCTCATCTTGAGCTGAAGAGCTGAGGGACAGTCCCCAAGCCCAGAGTTCAAGCCTGTTCCATCTTCCCTTTTTTTCCCTGAGCCAGACATTCCACGGGCTATGAGTCTGAACTTGCCCAGTTCAAGACCCAGGTGTCAAACACAGGACTCGGACCCTCCCCTCCCCTCCCTCACAGAGCCCAGATCTCAGAGGACCTGGAGGCTTGTGAAGACTCCCACCCTGAGGGGATTTCCCCTCCTTTCTCTCACCCCTCAACTGCTGATCCCTCAAGGCTCAAACCACCTGGGTCTCCCTGCTTAGGGAAGCAGGTGGCTGCCCAGAGGCTGATGGGGGGTGGAGGGGAGGGTGGAGCCGGACAAACTATTATTATGAGTAGGAGGCTGGGAGATGCTCTGGGCTATGTGTGGTCCTGAAGGCAGCAGGGAGAGACCTCTACCAGGTCTGGTGAAGTTGGGGGCTCTTTCTCCCTCCACCGCCCAAGGGCTTAGCCGGGTCCTTTCTGTTGTAGAACCCAGCTGGGGGAATAGCCGGGACCTTTAAGGACCATAAAAGACCTATGAGATTATCTGATACCTGGCAGGAGAGATATTTTTTTTAATAGAATACTCATGGCCCATCTGCTATATTGGTAATTATTTTTTGTTTGTGTACTGGGGCTTGAATTCAGAGCCTGGGCACTGAGCATTTTGTATTCAAGGCTGGTGCTCTACCACTTGAGCCAAAGCTCCACTTTGGGCTTTTTGGTGATTAATTAGAGATAAGAATCTCCCCAGGCTGACTTTGAACCTTCCCAGACCTCAGCCTCCTGAGTAACTAGGATTATGGGCATGAGCCACAGCTGTGTGTAGATAATTTTGTATGGCCCAAGAATTGTTATAAATATCCAAATGGCTCTTGGCAGGAGACAAAAAAAATGGTTCCCCATCTCTGCCCTAGACTGGAATCTTCCCAAGAGACTGCAGCTTGCCCAAGCCAGGCTAGGCCAATTTGTTTTGTGCTGGACTGGGGCTTGAACTCAGGGCCTAGGCACTTTCCCTGAGCTTCTTTTGCTCAAGGCTAGCACTCTACCACTTGAGCCACAGCGCCACTTCCAGCTTTTTCAGTGTATGTAGTACTCAGGAAACGAACCCAGGGCTTCAATGCATGCTAGGTAAGCACTCTACCACTAAGCCACATTCCCAGCCTCTGGCTTTTCTGATGATTCATTGGAGATGAGTGTCATGGATTTTTCTGCCCAGGCTAGCTTTGAACCCCAGTTCTTGGATCGCAACCTCTTGAGTAGCCAGGAGTATAGATATGCATCACATGGGCTCAGCCCAGGTCAACTCTTGAAGCTGGACATTGCTAACACCCCCCTCCATTTTATTCCCCCCCTCTCTGCAGGTCCTGGAAAGGCTGTTCCAGAAGGGGTTCAGCGTGGCCGCATCCTGTGGGGGTGGTGTGGATTCCTCGCAGTTCAGCGAGTATGTACTATGCCGAGAGGATCGACCCCCACACCCCATCTCCACTGCTGTCAGGATAAAGCAGGAGCCTCTGGACTAGGCCCTGTATTGGTGCCCACCTGACACCCCCCCCAACCTTAGCCCTGGGGGAATCAATGACCCCCCCAACCCCCCCCAGGGACCTGGAAACAGTGCCGGGGAGTCACGCAGTCCGGCCTCTGCACCTTTAGCAGTGGGCATGAGACTGAGGGTAGGGGCTGGAATGTCGCCTGCCAGGCCTGGAGAGCAGCAGGTGTAGTCATCACCGTCGTCGTCATCGTGGTGACAACAGAATGGGATGCTGGCCCCGAGGCGCACTCACTGAAGGACTGAGCATGTCACCCAGAGAAGCTGTAGCTGGAACTCTGGCTGGCAGCTCCCTGCCCTCCCAGCATCCTCTGAGGCTGGAGGACCACCCAGGCATCCACCCCTCCCCCCTCCAGCCCATCCGGAGCAGCTATTTATCCCTCTTCACACACACACACACACACTGGTGGATGGACTCTGGCATTGGAGTTAGCTTATTTTTCTACAATATTTAAAACTGAGGCGAATGTCACTGCACAGGTCAGTGAGGTCGCCCACACGCCAACACTGCTTCACTTGGTGCTGGGTTCTCTCCCATCAAACCTATCGGCAAGGCCGATATGGTGGCTGAGCTGCTGGGCGCTGGAGCCCCTGTTCCTGCGGGGCTCGGGCTCTGGGGACTGATGTGAAGAGGACATGGCTGGGGAGAATGAGGCAGGGCGGTTGAGGGAGGCGGGGATGAGAGATCTGCTGGATCTCTCCCCATCTGAGACTTGGACCTTTGCCATCACCCAGGACTCAGGTGACAACACACACAAAGGGGGTCCCCTAACCTCCTCCTGTTCCAGGGGCTCCCATACCATCTGAGTTCACGCACATCTCGGCCCTTGGCAAAGTCTTCCTCCACATCTGAGCCGGCACAGGGCTATACTTTTACCTCAGGAATGGGAACACCCCTACACACACACACCCCAATTATGAAGGGGCCCAGGTGTCAGTAGCAGTCTCTGGGTCCCCAACTCAGGGAGCTACCTCCAGCTCCAATTTGTTTTTCCATACAACAAGCACCACTTGGAGTTCCCATTAAACTTGAGCCTGCCGGCAAGATCTCACATCTAGGCTGTCCCAGTGCTCTTGTAACCCTGGGGGTGGGGGGTGGCGTTTCCAATGAGTACTGACCCTGAGGGGCGGGAGAGGGCAGGATGTCCCCACAGATCTGCTGCTTCTCAGATGGCATGCCCAGCCATGGGCACCCCACCTCCCTACTCCCAGCCTTGTCCCATTTTTCTGTGCACTGCTCCTGAGTTAGAGGAACTGTCAAGAATCAGTGGGTGGGGTACTACCCCCCCACCCCGCTGGCACCAATCCGTGTATAATGCCTGTAGACTTGTATATGACACCCCCCCCTTTAATATTGTAAAGATGATGTATAATTGTGAGTTTCGTGTCCACATTCCATTCTCCGTTGATGCCATAAATTGATGCCAGAAAGCAAAAGACTGAAACTCCTCTGTCTCCTGGACAGAAAGCTATGGCCACATTCCCACACTTGGAATTCTGCAGGAAAAGTCGGGATAGGGGAGTCGAGGCTTTTGTAGTCCCTTCTGTTCGAATCCAGGGACAACACTGCCACTGGTAAATAGGAGGGCTGACTCCTGAGCTTGGCTTTTTTTTTTTTTTATTATATTTGGGTATTTCTTGGCTGTTGATTCCAGATGCAAACAAAAAGGGGAAGCGAATGTATCTGGGGACTTGGTTGGTTGGTTTGTTCTGTACTGATACTAGAGCTTGAACTCGGGGCCTCAAGCTCCCTTTTTTTTACTCAAGGCTGGTCCTCTACCACTTGAGCCATGCCTCCACTTCCAGGCTTTTTTCTGGATTATTGGAGACAAGAGTCCCATGGACTTTTCTGCCCAGGCTGAATCTCAGTCCTCAGATCTCAGCCTCCTGAGTAGCTAAAATGACAGGCTTGAACCTCTGGCACCCAGTTAGAGGCGCTTTGGAACTCAGTCTAAAATGGTGGGGATTTCCTGTCTTGCTGGCTTTTGGTTAGAATTGGTGCTCTCTAAAACCCCACAGACCACTGCCATGGCTTAAACCAGCAAAGGGACATGCCAGCTACACATCATCTATGTAAAGACAAGGTTACAGTCCTAGCTGGGCATGAGTGGCTCACACCTGTAATTCAAGCTACTCAGAAGGCTAAGATCTGGAAAGTAGTACTCATCTCCAATAAGCTACAACACACACACACAAGCAAGAAGTGGGAGCTGTGGCTCGAGTGGTGGAACATTAGCCTTGAGCAAAAGCAGCTCAGGGGCAGTGCCCAGGCCCTGAGTTCAAACACCAGGCTCAGGGGCAGTGCCCAGGCCCTGAGTTCAAACACCAGGCTCAGGGGCAGTGCCC